AAAATCTTTAGGGGCTGCTTGATCAGCCTTTCGTCTTGTTTGACCCCAGTCTATAATTGAAGTTTTTCTCAAAATACTGAACCCTACCTCCTGCAGCCTGGTAGAACGAATCCCTGGGGATTTCAGGAAGACACTGGAGAGGAAGGCTTGCTAGGCCAAGGCTGGGTAGGCCTCTCAGAATTATTTCTCATGTACTAATTTCTTATTTTCAGAGCAGTGATTCTTTTATTTGTTTTGGTAGGATACAGTGTGAGCACTGCAGTGCCAATAGTCTGGGTTCTTGTTCTGTGAACCAGTTGGGCACACATGACAATCTTCTCTGGCCTCTTTCTCTACAACTCTTTAAGAGATAGTTTCCCTTATAACATTTCTCACTGCCTCTTCTGGCCCCTGCCCACTCTTCTCCTGCCTTCCCCCTCCTCACCTTCGGTCACTCCTTCCATCTACTTCTCATTCCCAGTGAGCTAGGCAGGTTAGTGGCTTTGTTAGCAGCCCTGATACTCACACTACTCAAATGCTGGGCTGTTCCTTGCTGAACAAATCCCATCTTAAACAAGGTTTGGATTGAGTCATCGTCCAGCTTCTATCAAGTCTTTGAGATGGTTCCCAGTCAGCTGGAAACTGAAAAGTTCTCAGGACTAAGTTTGGGGGCCTGTCATCAGCAACTCAACCTAAGATTTCCCCTTAGTATCTCCCAATGGTTAGTACTTTCACTTTAAACAGACTGACCTCTTTTGCCCAAAAAAGCCTTTTTGAGTTCTGATTTTAGGGCAGCCAGTTATTGGTGGTCATTCACTTTACTTTCAACCCAACCACTTAATCTGTAAACACAGAGATGCTTGACCAGATATAATAAATAATATTTATTATTTCATTGCTCAAACATTTACACTTGACCTTCAGGTCTCAGCCTGAATGTCAGTCCTCCTAGGCCAGCATTAGATCCTTCTGAGATCCTTCTCTCTGCTAGCACTTGCTGCAGTGCATTGTTGTGTATCTTGGAATTGTCTGTTCAATGCCATCCACTTTCTCATTAGCCAGGACGACTTCCCGATGACAGAGGCTGTCTACTATGTAGTCTAAGGCTTAGTCCTGCCTGCGAGTCTGACAAATACAAGACGGATAAGTAATAACGCAGGAGAGACCCTCATGCGTCCTCCTTTTCAGGCAGGAGAGACCCTCATGGCCATGCCTTCCAGGAACTCAGTCACTAAGAGGGAGTGTACCTAGCAGCAGCTGTGGACTATAAAGTGCTCTAGGCAATCTCTAAGAAGAAACCCAGAAAAGATTCTCCATAGAGACAGTATCTGGGCTCACATGGTACACTGACTAAGCATAAAGCACATACACAAGATATACTGAAAATACACTGCCACCTACTCAGAGGTTAGCACCTTCCTCAAGTGGGTCCAGGAGGACCTATGATCCTGAAAGAAAAAACTCTTCAAGATCCCAGGGTTGGAAAAACTGTTTTCGTTTCAAAGACTACATTTTACCTTTAAGGAAACTGAGGCTCAGAGTAGGAAACAGACCAGTTCCAAGAAGCACAGGCCAAGGTGTCATGGGGTCTTGTGTATACCATTTTTATACCAAGAGTCACAGTGACAGCAGACCATAGTTTAAGACCTATTGCTCCTACTTATGCAGAATACGGTTTTCTCACTTTCCTGAAAGGCTTTTCACGAGAAGGGGTTGGGATGCTGGGCTAGGTGGGAAATGGTGTTAGGTGACTGGCAGGGATCTTGGGAGGGTGGGCTGCAGCCTCTCCGCTAGAAAAGACCACAAATCTTTTATAGGGAAGCTTGTTTGTGACTCTTAAGCAGGTTTAACCTAAAACAAAGCTGCTTCCTGAGGGAGCACAAAATAAGCAATGATCTTGGCTTCATTCATCATCCAGGTGCCTCCACAGGAGAGTGAAGACACAAAAGTCTTTGTTTATTTGTTTTGTTTTTGGAATTGGCAATTATTTTGTCAGGTCTTCCCACTAGGGCAGAATCATGAGGTCTTGGAGAATCAGGCCTGGGCCATGCCCCTGTAATCCCCAGCAAGCCTACTACAGGGCCAGACTATCCCTTCCACATGTGTAACTTCTCAGCTTGTCAAGACTCTGCAGTACCACAAGAAACCCAGGGGAGGAGGGGATTTAGAGATAAAAGCACCGAAGAATCAAGTAGAAAAAACACCCAGCAGACAGGATCAATAAAAGTTTGGTTCTTTGAAAATCCCCTTAAACAGACAAATCTTTTATAAATTTTGATCAAGAACAAAAAGCATTGATAAGCAATGTGAAGAATGTAAAAGGGGTTAAAATAACTAAAGGGTAGATTTTAAAAGCCAGGAAAAAACTGCACACTACTTTATAGCAATTAATTAAGTCTAGGTAAAACAGGTGATCCTCAAAATTACCAAAGCCCTTCACAACTTTTACCTCATAACTCCTCACAATAGCCCTGTGCTTTCTGGGATAAAGAAGAGATTCAGAGGTGAATGCCCAGTGATGGCCCTGACAAGCTTCCCCACTTTGTCTCATAGGTCACGGCCATGGGAGCATGTGCACATCTGCCACAGGGATCCATACCACTCTGGTGCTTCTAGCCATGGCTTAAGTCTGCTGGTTGGACAGTCAGTTTTATTTATTTTTCCACTTGAAATGTCATGAGGGATTTCACTGTATTTTTACTTCAAAAGCAGCACATAAAAATTCTTGATGATTAGAGCTCCAGCTGTCTTAAGTTGTTTGTCAAGGGATCAGTTACTCAAATCTCCTATGGAGGGGAACAATTTCAGGCGGGAAGCCGTGGGAGCTGAGAAACACCAATGTCTCATCTCTGAAAACTTTTCAGACTCCCTCCTGTTTACTGCCAGGCCTTCCCCCCTCTCCCTCCCCCATACCACCATCTGCTTTCCAGAGAGCAGATCAAATTTTTGGGGTAAGATACTCTGGCGCCAAGGATTCAGCCCCTTCATGCTTCCCCCCGCCCCCCCACCAACTTAGAAATCCAACACCACAACCCAAATGGACTGCAGCCACATAAAACCACAAAGTAAAGTTTATAAAGCTTTATTAAACATTTCAAACAGCTGTGCAATGAACACACCAGAAATAAAAGCTCTAGAACAGCAGTCCAAATATTTCACAAGTGTGGCCTTGCAGTCCCATTCCCTAGATGGACTGCCTTCAGTTCTGTCCTCTGTCTGGCCCACCTCCCTTCTTCCTCAGGCAAGAGAGAGGGATGGTTCCAACTGGAAGGACAATCATGCTGATGCCCAGTAGGTAGGGGCCAGGAGAAAGTCTTGTTTGCCAACACTTGTTATTGAAGCGCAGAGAAAAAAAAAGCATGTGACAGTCACAAAGTCTTCCTGTGTATTCTTCGAAAGGTACAGTCTATATGCGCAGGAACGAAGAAGCTCCTGGCGGGAGGACGATGGCCGCTGCTCCCCTGTGTCTTTTCTGAACCACCTTGAAGTCCAGTGTGCTGGTCACTCTGCAATCCCCATGCTAAATAAAAACTGCAGTGGCACCTACTACAGCTAACTACTGCTAAACCTCAAAACCGGAACACGTTCTGTAAAGCTTCTTTAAAAGGAATATACGCATATATTTACACACACACACACACACACACACACACACATACATACAGGGCACATCAAAAAATATCCAAACACCTATCAAGGGGATCATGGCTACTATGAATCGCACAAATACTTTTCCATTCACTCGGCTGGGGACTGCTAGGTCTACATGAACACATCATACCTCCATCCTGCAGAGCATGCACAAGAAACAAGAAGGCCCCCCTCTCGGGACGGCTGAGAAAGGCAGGAAGAAGGGTAAAGGAAGAGAGGCTGGGCTTAAAGCATGAGCCCAGACACCCAGGTAAAAGAGCAACATCTATCTGTTGCTTCTTTTAAAAATAAAGTGGAGAAAATACTGGAGGCTTGTGGACAACAAACAGTCAACACATATATATATCTCTGTCTAGCCTGCTGAACAGGGGAAGAAGGATGAAAAAGCGAGGCTCTCGGGCGTCAGCAATCTCTTCAAATTCGAGATAAGTGCAAAAATGAGCCCTGTCATGGACAGGTGCTCCCAAAAAAAGGAAGGGAGTAGAAGAGAACTAAAGGGAAACCAGGAGAGGGACTGAGGAGTCAGTAACATTCTGGGAAGGAGGGAGATTTTGACAAGAAGGAGTCACACAGGTGACAATGAGACTGGCATTTCATCGGCCCAGGCAAGCCAGGATGGTTGACTAGGATGGGTGTGGACTCCTCGCAATAATGAGGCGAGAGAATAGCCATCCTGTCAGCCGGGACCCAGATGGGGACAGAACACACACAACCACAAGACCACCCACGACTACAGGACTCTACAATAAAAGCACCGGTCAGTGCCATTATTCACATTATAAGGATAAAACATCACAGGCCAAAAAGGCGCCATCAGGAATGTGATACCCGCAAGGCTGCGGGATTTGAAACTCCAATGCTTTATGACCTATGTCAATGCCTCCCCTCCCGTCTTCTGCTTCCTTAGAAAGCTAACAGGGCGGCTGTTAGGTGCCCACAACACCAGGGTCATGTGCTGAATCCGGAAGTGGGGAATCAGTGCAGTGGTACAGGAAACAGTTTCCCCAGCAGCTATAACAGATGAGGAACAGGGCTGCCAGGAAAACCAAGGCACAGATTGTGCAAGGCTTCCGTTCCAGGAGAAAGCTGAGCAGGTAGAAGCCCATGAACATGGAGTGGCTGAACCACAGGGCGGGGTTGAGGGGCTTGGGGATGAGGAGGACGGGCAGCAGCCACTGGAGGCAATACATGATCTCTGCCGGGCAGGGCCTTCACCAAGGCTGCCAGGCACCGCTGCAGGAACCGACCTAATGGGAGCCAGTGGGTGCAGGTGGCTGCCCTCTGCTTTCTTCAACCCTCTCTCCAGGAGCTGAGCCGCTGTGCTCTCTGGCTGTCAGCCTGGGATCACCAAGGCAGCAAGGATCCTGAAGAGAAAAGTCAACACAACAGACAAACAGACAAAACAGACAGACAGACAGAAAAAAAAAACAGGAACAAAATGTATACTTATTTGGGAAAATGGATTATGGTTAACAACAGCAAATGTGATTGCCCTTTCCTCCCTGCCCACCCATGGGAAGTTCTACTCTTCTCCATGTCACCAGTTCCAGAAGCCTCCTGGGGTATCTCCCTTGGAGCCTCTTAGGATATCTTCCCTGGGTTTCCACTGGTGAGGGGCACCTCAAGAGAGCTCTTTGGCATGGTCCTGAACAGTGGACTGGCTTTGCCTGGGCCCTGCCCAGCAGAGATCATGTATCGCCTCCTGAGGCTGCAGCCCGTCCTCAAAGGGCCCAGACCTCACAATACCACCCTGTGGTTGCCACAGGATTGTCATGGGCTCTGTGCTGTGCCCCCAACGTGCTAAGCAGGTGTTTTGTATCTAGTCTCTCACTGCACGGGGAGGTGTCATGCTCTGGCAGCGTGGTGAGTTAAAGCGGTCAGGAGTGCACTGCAAGCTGGACATGGCAAGTAATGGATCTTGGCAAACTCTTAGAAGCCATGGCAGTGCTGGCACCAAAAGATGGCAGCCTGGGCAGAGTTTGTCTTTTTTAAGCAGCTCAGTATCATTTTACCAAAGCCAGCTAACTTCTTTAAAATCACTGCAGGCAGAAAAATCACTGCACTACTTTGTCCAAACTAAATTGAATCATTACACCTCCATCTGCCGCTGCCATTGTATAGAACCTGACCACCATGATCTTAATCAGAACTAGTTTCCTGTTCACATAGGGGCAAATGCCAGTTGGTCCCTGTGCTAGGCAGCTTGCTGAAGAGAAGTGCTTTCAGCCAGCCACCAGTGTGCCAGGGCCCTCTTGAAGACTGTTTTCTTGGGCTTCAGCCCACAAAGCCCAGCTCTTAGAGGGACTCTGCACTCTGAGGGACCCCCAAAACCTGTGTTCCACTGGAAACACAAAAGATGGGCACTCAGATATTTGATTCCCCTTAAAATAGGACTAAGACAGTCACACTCATTAGCAGCCACAGCAAAACCCGAGTCTTGCTACAGCTGCCTAGCAAAAGGGGTACAAAGAACCATACTGGCTGAGGCTCACCTACCCGGGCCTGGGGGAGGGGAGGGGAGTGGAAGACAGAGGTTTAAACAGTTCATCTGGAGGAAAAATATCCGAAAACACATTGGGACTTGCCAACCACTTTTAGAGTTCATTCCTTTTTGTGCACACACGATTCTTCCTGTACCCCTCCCACAAAACAGACATTATTGCTTTTGCACCCAGAGTGCAGCACCCTGGCCCAGCTCCCTACAGTACCCACGTCCACAACAGACACCGATTTTCACTACTATAATGAGGCAGGATGTGAAGAATCAGTGAAGAGCTACTCATTAAGGGACCCTCAGGAAGCAGAAGGCTTGGGCTTAAAACTCACTGGTTATCAGGAAGAGTGCTGAGCACTGCCCCATGAAGAAGCCAGGGCTCCTGGGAGGGGTACCTTTTTGGCTTTACCAGGCATATGACCCCTCCCTAACGTCGATTTTCCATAGTATGAGAGATCCATTCTGGCGCGGGGCTGAGCTCAAATTTGCAGACCAAGATTTGGAAACAGGGGCACACTAAGAGGCTTACACTTCCTACCCTGTGCTCTATATAGTCGTGTCACCCCTCCATTTTACACTGAAATTCAAAAGCGAGTACGGTAGAATCTTCTGGAAAGGGTCTAAGATGGGACTCAGGAGGCAGAGGTCGGTGTGGAAAGCGCAGATGGATTTTTTCTCTCTTCCCCAGCAAATGAGGAACGCCCCCAGCCATCCCTCCTCAGGAACCACCACCCAGGGCGCGCATGCGCACTTAGGCGGCAGGCAGATACTTAAGGCACAGCAACCGCGGCTGTAGCAGTGCGCCCAACAGCGGAATCAAAGAGACCAGTGGACCTCGGCAAGAACCCTTGCTCTCTCCCACCCACCCACCACTCTTGGCACCATGGCAGCAGTAGCGGCAGCCTCGGCTGAACTGCTCATCATTGGCTGGTACATCTTTCGCGTGCTACTGCAGGTAAGTGTGCAGAGGCTAGGGTGGGAGGACTCCCGATGCGCGCACCCTAAACCTGCAAACCCGCGTCGCGATTGCCGCCTCCTAGACCCATCCTATTCCGATTGCCGCGATTCTTGTCTGCCCAAGTGCCGCTGCGGCACGCCCCTCGCTGGTTCCCTGCGCCCACATCCTCACGCAGACCCTCCCCAGTGTGCCCGCGCCGGCCGGGAACAAAGACTCGGGGCGCGGCGGTCGCCGCAGATGATCCGCGATGCTTTTAGCGACCTATGTGGTAAGAAAAACCGCTACACCCAGACTCAACCCCAGGAGGGAGGCGGGGCACTTGTGTGTTTCAAGACTTTACGGCTCGCCTAGCAAAAAAAATTATGCCTTAAAAAAATTGCGCATTGCGGGTTAATTTTCTTTTTAAAAGATACACATAAATGTGTATACACACAATCATATAGCGCTTGTGGGAGTGGGGCGAAAAGTGCACTTCTCAAATTTGAAAAAGGCACTTCTCAAAAAACAAAACAAACTTCACAAAAGAACACCAGAACAAATTACAGAAAACACAATCAACAGGGGGAAAAAATAAACGCGCACTGCAGGAAAAAGAAATGAAATAAAAGCAGTTGGTAGGAAAAAAACGCATTAGACAAAAAGCGCATTGCAGGAAAACATTAGACAAAGGCGATTAATTTTTTTATCGGACAAAAACACTTTAAATAAAACAATTAGAGGAAAAAGCCCTTCGCAGGAAAAATGGAAGGGGGAAAAAGTGCTTCCAAAAAGGCCAAAATGTTTTTTTTTTTTAAAAAAGGCAAACGTGCTTTGCATAAAAATAAATCAGAAGTGCTTTGCCCAAAATATAATCTGCCCTAAAAGCTCCTTTTGCAGGAAGAATTCCCTGCTAAAAGAATCCTTTGCCAAAGGAATCGCATATTTCGTTCAAGGTGTTCCTGGAATGCTGCATTTACTGGGTAGGATTCGCTTTTCGAAATCCTCCAGGGACACAGCCCATTGCGAGAAGTGAGGTATACCTAAGTTGTGGGTCCAATCAGCTTGCTGCCATGCAGCTCTCAGCACAGTTGGAAAAGCTCCAGCTGCCCTGACTCGTGGACAAGCTGCGCCCGCAACCGCCTTTCTGGCCTATGCTGGACAGGCGGGCGGGGCAGGGGGTGGGGCGAAGGTGGGCACGGCAGCGCCACAGACTCGCTGCCGTTGCGCGCCACTGAGGGTGGGTCTCTCACCGCAGGTGTTCAGATACTCCCTGCAGAAGCTGGCGTACACGGTGTCCCGGACCGGGCGGCAGGTGCTGGGGGAGCGCAGGCAGGGAGCCCCCAACTGAGGCCCCAGCTCCCAGCCCTGGGCGGCCCTATCACCACGTGCTCCTGCGCATCTCAGCCAGCATGGGAGCAAGTGCCGCGCAGGCATGGGGGGTCCCCTGTGTTCCCTCGCCAGAGGAGCACTTGCCAAGGTCAGTGAGGGGCTGATAGGCACCCAAGAAGCAGCACCGACAATGACGACAATACCAGATCCTTTTCCAACCCCTTTGCACCGGTTCCCTTGCAGGGAAGGTCAGGGAGGGAAGGGGATTAGGGAGCAGATCCTGGAGATCTGGGCACAGGTGTCACATTTTGATCTGGACCAACTCGGGTCAGCACCATCCTTGCCCTGAAGTCATGGCCATGCCAGTGGGCCCCACCATGAAGACTGAAACACATCAACCAGCAGAATGAACATTACAACATCACCAGCTGAAGTCCTGAATCTCAGTGCAGCAGAGAAGGCGCCAACTCGTTTCGGTGGGGAGGGATTGGAAGGCATGGACAGAGGAAGAGAAGGGTTAAGAAACAACAGTGGGTTCTTCTCACTGTTCCTTGCCTGTGTCATGTATGCATTCCAGCCTTGCTGCCTTTGCTCCCTTGATTCCCCCTTCCCCTAACTGCCCCTCCAGCCCATCCCAACCCCTAAAAATGTGTCACTTGATTTGGACCTATTCAACCTATTCATTTACCTATTCAGTAAATGAATCCCATCTTTACTAAAACACCTTCTGAGTCCCCTGCCCCTCACTGATCTTGCTTTCCCTGGTCTCACGCAGTTGTGGTCAATATTGTGGTAATTGCTAATTGTACTGATTGTTTAGGTGTGCGTTAGTTGTGTCTCCCCAGCTAGATTGTAAGCTCCTGGAGGACAGGGACCGCCTCTACAAAAATAAAAAACAGTACCTCCCTTGCCTTGCAGTGTCCTAGGAACCTGCAAGGTGATGGAGGTGCACCAAAAAGTTGTCTGTCGGGCTTCTTTTGTGTTCATGACACACACTTCTAAGACTGAGCTGATGCGCTAATTGTAGAGTGGACACACTGCTTGGGAGAGGAAGTGGGGAGATAAAATGGGAATCAACTGGAACTATCACATAGCCAGCTCTATTTCAACACTATCCTGACATAAAGGACTTTATTTCTCCTCCTTAAAGAAGGTAACACCTTCACTTTCTATCACAGGATAAGGGATCACTTCCTCTTCCTCATAATCCAGGTCCCTATTTAGGAATCCCAAAGAAATGAGCTCTGGGCACCATGGACACTGGTCTGGACAATGAGTATGGGATAAAAGGTGTGGCATGGTACCACTTCCACCAGCTTAATGAACTAGGCCCTGTAACCACCAGGACTACTCCTAAGCCATCCTGCCTGGCCTTGCTATTTTCTAGGGTCTCACCCCTGAAAGGGGTGCATCTATCCTACTTATTCTCTCCTAATGCTGGTTCCCTGATTTTCTTAGCACTAGTCTCCCTATCTGTAGGGGTGCACTTACCAGGTCCCTGTCCCTGGGCTCTCCCCTGCCATCAAGTCAGGGGTGGTGGGCTGGCTGTTCTGTCCCCTCCTCAGTGAACCAGGGCTCTTTTTACAGAAGGTCAGCTGACTGGCTCACCAAAGAGCCCCTGCCACCTGTTCAGCCTCATCTCTGGCTTTATATGTCCCTGTCACTGTATACTTGTTCCTGGGTCAACATGAAGGGAGGGAGTCGGAAGGTCATAAATCTCTTCCTGACACTTCTTCAAATTCCTTAGTCACAGCTGTCACACAGGAGTATAAAGGAATTCACCCCCTCGAACTTGAATTTCCCTCTTCTATCAAGGGCCCTGAGTTTCTCTGCCCAATCAACAGCACCTCTAAAGACACTTACAACTCCCCTTAGCATCACAATTATGGGGCAAGGGGTGCAGATTTTGGTTTGGTCATGGCTTTGCCATCAGTCAAATCAGCTTAGGCAACCCAGCCAGGTCACCTCCCACCTCTAGTTCCCCTCTAAAATTGTGCTGAACCCTCAGATACTAGAAACATTCTATCAAAACAGCAATCAACAGTCATCAGAACCTGGGTGGGATGCGCAATCTGAGACTCTATCTTCCTTACTGGGGCAGCCACAGATGCTATTACAGCCTAAAGGTGAGGCAGGTCTCAGCCATAGCTGCTATTACAGCCTAAAGGTGAGGCAGGTCTCTTCTTGCCCCAGAGTGACTCAGCAGCAGGCAATGCCCACACCTCTTCCCTCCTGAAGCCTGCATTTTGGACAGGCCTCAAGGCTGAAGTTTCTGTAGTTTTCCACACTAAAGCCACAAAACCATGCATATATTTCAATGTATGTCCTCAATGAAGGCTGACTGTCGTCTCCCTAGAGCCTTCCTGGGGTCCACCTACAGTCCCACTGCCCCAGATGCACTAACCTCAGCTGTTAGACAGCAGTAGTAGATGAAGTAGTTTATAGATGAAGGCCAAAGCTGCATGGGTCTGGCTGCTGTGGACACAGCACCTCCAATGCTTTTTACCCCCCAAGAAGACAGGAGGCTTTCCAGATGATCCTGACAAAGCCCCTTTCCTCTATTCATCCAGCAGCAGGGCTCTGAAATGTGGCATGGTGAGATGACAGAACTCCAGGTGACAAGGGCTGCTTGGTGGCCTGCATGAATAGGCCAGCATGTGTAACTGTCTACTTCCACTTTCATTCCCTACCTTCCAACCCTCCTGTTCTGGCAGCAAACTTAACCCACCAGAGAAGACAGAAGGAATGTGTTCACTTTCTATCCGCATGCAATGGTGAAAAGTATGATCAAAATACAGTACATCTTGATTATAAAATTTTGCCACAAGCTATACCATTAAAACATTTTATTCTCACAGAGAGCAACAGGATGTTCTCATTTTATTGCAAAGCCTTAGTACATAGCACTAAATGTCCCTTTTCCCTAAACCATTGCCCCATCCCACCCCCAACAAGGTCAATGACGGAGCAAGTGACTTGTAAGGAGAGTGGAATGACTCTGTGGAACTCCAGCAACAGGTCAGACCCTTGGCACTAATGTTTAACCAGTTGAAGTTAAATCTAGGGGGCAGGGAGTTAGGTACAAGTTTCAGAGGTGTGGGGAGCTATGTGACACTGTTACCCTTATCTGTGGGGTATATGAATTGTGATTAAAGGAACAGGTATCTGTTCTGGGGACAGAGTAGAGACAGGTTTCTTGAGGTTCAAATGTAGGGCCAGCAACAGCTTAGTACACACAGGCTGAATAAGACAGCAGGTTTGCTGTGAGCCCTTTACTAAGTATCTATTTTCAAATTTGTATCTTCTCGGGAGCAGTACTCCAAAGGGAGATTCTGAATTTGCAGTTAATTTCCCCCAGAAGATTTAAACGTGTTTAAATGATTCCCTTTATCCTCCCTTCTTTCCCTCCCAGAGGGCTTATACTCCAGCAGGATCCATATTCCTGAGCATTCCCAGTGCAGGAAGTCATCAGAAAGGCTGGTAACACATGGCTCTGGTGTATCACACAGTGACAGGCTTGAAATGGAATGCACGTGTTTCAAAGATAGGAGAACGACAACAAAGTCAGCCTAACCCAGATTCCTCTTTGAAACAACATATTACAGAGAAAAGGTTAAACTCTTTTTGGCCTCAACTCTAAGATAACCAGTTTTGGATAGAGAATTGATCTGATCACTGGAAACTGACCAAGCTTCTAGCAACCAAATCTTTTAACTGATTTACTTGACATTAATCTCTGCTTTAAAATAAACACACATGACCTAACGCTCGGTATTAGCACTTAAGCTGGAACCTTTTTTTGGTCCTGGCTTTGGTGTTGCCGTCCAGCAGGCTGAAGGTTGGACCATGTCAGGCAGGGCAGAGAAGCCGTCCCCAACATGCCAGTTCCCTAAAAGGGATAAAAGATGATCCAAACCCATTAACAAAAAAGTCGTTTCTCTCCTAGGGCAGTTTCCTAACATTACACGGGGGCCTGGGAGGAAACGAAGAGATTGGGAAGGAGGAAGGAAAAAGCGACTGTCCCCATCCCCCATTCTTCCTTTCCAGGCATTCCGTTCGTTCCTTCGTTCCTTCGGCCGCCCTTGAGGGCCACTCACCACGCACCGGAGGCAGGGGATAGGTCCCAGGCTTAATACAAAGTTAGCGGGAGTGACCAGCACCCGCGCCCGAAGCAGTGTCAGCCTAACGCCCAGCCACCGGGTCCCTTTTCTTCCTTCTTCCCCAAGCCCCATCTGGTTTTTTAAATACGTAACTGACGTGGCGGGGAAAGAGCGACAGGCCTGTCACAAGCTGGGCCCCCGCCAGGGACCCGGGCCGCAGAGGCGAAGGCGGCGCTCTTCCGCGCCCCCAGCCCGCCCCGCCCCGCGCTCCGCCTGCCCCTTCCCGGGAGAGCGCTGACCTTGGAGGCCAGGGCGAGAACCCGGGACTCTGGTGGTCCCACCCTTGGCCAGGAAAGACCCCAACGCCCAGGCTGGAGCGAAGCAGGGCAATCACCTGACGCCAGAAAGGGGTGCTCCCACCCCCGGGTGCGCAGAAAGAACACCCCAGTGAAGGACCCAGCGGCGCCTAAGGTGACCCCGAAGGGACAACATGGCGGCGCGGCCGCACCGAGGGCGTCTCATCCCGCCACTAGCAAGCTGACGCCACGGTACCTGCGAGCCCTTCCATGGCGCCGCCGCCCCTGCCGCAGTCGCTGCCACAGTCTGCCTCCACCTCAGCTCGCCACAGACGCCGCAGAAGCTGAGGAGACGCCCCCTCCGTCTTCCAGGCTAGCCGGCGGAGGACCCCCCTCGTGGGGCTGGGCTGTCTGCAGCGGGCGCCTGATCATATGGCACAAAATTGTGTCATCTTCCCTCGATTTTCCCCCACTTTCTGCCGCAGAAGACCCTTTGAGAGCTGTCTGCGTATCTCTACACAGTTATGCGGCGCCTGTGTCTTTAAATCTGAAGACTTTTTAATCAGGCGCTTTCTGGCCAGCCCCGAACTACGGACTCCGTGGTCCAATGCGTACGCAGCAGATTGTGATCTTTACTCTCGGAGAGCAAAGTGTAGCTTAGCTCCTGAGGTGGAAACCTCTGTTCCCTTTCGCCCACTTACTCAGCGGGATCCATGTGCTCCAGCGGTACTCTCCTGGCTCAATGTCCGACCCCTCCCTGGCCCTTTTCTTCGTGAGGAAAGATACAGGGTCGCAACGTGGACCCTGTACCTCGCCCTGGACCTGGGGCAAGCAGTTCACTTGCCATTCCCGACTCTCCCAGCTTCCTCGTGTCTGACGAGTTGTTACGGGAGCGGATGAGTCAGTGTATTCATTTATGAGCTAAGTAGGTACGTTCCTTGAGCGCCTACTATGTTCAGGCACAATGCTGAAGGCAGAAAGGTGGAGTGAGTGGTTTGCTCCTGGCCTGCAGGATCTGACAGTCTTAATAGGTTAGAGTGGGGAGAGGAAAGACAAGCATCAAATAATCACTATCTGTGTTAATTATAGTAAATCGATACGTAATTATGCGTCATGGAAAGTGGTGCTGTGAAGGAGGGTAAAAAGTGTTATGTGACAACTATGAGGTCCTGGTGTGGGGTGAGTGCTGGAGGAGCTTCCCGGAGAAAAATAGCAGTTGGGCTAAGCAACAAAGGACAATTAGGAGTTTTGTATAGCAAGAGCGAGGGGAAACTAGACAGAAGGGACAATTTATCCCAGAAGTGGAGGTGAGAAGACAAGGGAAAGTGAGAGGTGAGCAAGGAGTAGGGCCAGTAGCATCCCATAAAGAATTTGGATTTTGGCTTGAAAAGGAAGCCATTTTCATCAGGGGCATGATACCAAATTTGGGGTTCTGAATGGTCACGTAGGCTGCGTGGCTTAGAAGGCAGGAGGAGTGGGTGTGGGGAGACCAGTAGGAGGCTGCCGAAGCTTTCCAGGCACAAAGTAATAGTGATTCAGACTGAGTGGTGGTTTGGGAGCTGAAG